ATACTTATACTTATACTTATACTTATACTTATACTTATACATACGTTAGGAGGGGTATTTATTTCTGGTGGTCACTTCAATAAAGTTGACGCTTAATATCCGGCAAATATATTGATAGATGAGCTTAAGCACTTGGGCACTTTTCATTGCCATTTTCCGTTGATATATGAACTAGAAACTGGAAACTGAAAGATGCTCTTCGCCTTTGAGCCTGTTTAAGTGCCTGCCTCACAATTTCGTCGCACTTCGGCTCCAGCCAAAAGGGGCATTTCCGTCTGGCTTTTCTGGGCTTATGTTACAGCTGTTAGTCAAAGTTTTAAGTGTAAATGCTTTAATTTTTAAAGTCTAAGTAAACTTTGAAACTCAAACGTCAAAGATTTTCGGCTGCTTACTAAAGCTGAGACAAATATACCTCATTCCGTTTTTAGGACTTGTCCAGTTAACTTATTTCGGCTTTATTTGTCTAAATATTTGTAATTTTTTTTTTGGGTTTGTAAGTTTTTATTTTTAGGAAAAATTATACTTCCAAAAAATGTTGATTTACTAAACGTTTCTATTACATTACAGGTTGTGGCCTTTTTTGTAGTTTAGAAAAATACAGCGGAAATTGGCTTACAAAAGTTTGATATTCAAACTAAGTAGTTAAATCCAAGAAAACCAATAAAACCAATCGTTACTCATTCTCATAACTCATTTCTACCAAATTCCTCTCAAACGTAAGTATTCTTCATTGGTTGAATTTTGAATACTTCGCTGATCTGTTCTGCAGTCTCTTTCAAAATGTGTTGCGGACCTTGTGGTGGATGCTGTGGACCCTGCGGCGGTTGCTGCGGACCCTGTTATTCCTGCTGTGGTCCATGCTACTCGTGCTGTGGCCCCTGTGGCGGCTGCTGTGGCGGATGTGGACCCTGTTGCTAAAAAGAACCGAAAAAACTAATCTACCAAGGAACAACAAACTCTCTTGTCAATTTTCGTTTTACTCTTAAATAAAGGATAAGTCTACAAAAATGTTTCTTGTTTGGGTAAAATTTGTGAATGGATTATAAGAGCAAGGTTATAATTAGTTAGCTGGCTGTAGGTTCTACGACTTTAACATTTTGATAGGATAGAGAAACTGCGTTTTTTTGACGCTTTAGCTTTACTTTACGGCGTATCGGAATATGAGATAACCAGTCAACCGGTCAATATTTTTTGTTCACATGAAACTTAATTTATTCCCCCCAGATAATTCTACTCTAATGCATTTTTTGTATGCATTTAATCAATAGTTAAGATACATTTAAGGCTACGCTATGAAGTTAATAACAAAAGCTGCAGTAAAGATATAATAATAATTTTAAAAAAATACTCTTCATATTCATATAAGCCAAAGTGGGCTCTGTGTTTCATAATTCGTAACACCCAAAGTAGGCTCTGTGTAATAAACGTCAACGATTTTGGGCTGGTTACCAAAGCCCTAACAAATAAACCTCATTCCGTTTTTAGGGCTCGTCCTGTTAACAACTTTTGATTTTATTTGTCTGAATATTTGTAAAAATTTTTGGGTCTTGTAAGTTTTACTGAGAACCGTTTGGACTAACTAATTTAATTTCTGATTAAATCACAGGTTGGAATATTTCTTTTAAAAAAAAAAATAAATAAATAAAAACATACTAAAAGACTGATAAAGCTTGGAATCTGAACCAAAAAGTGAATACTCAATATCCTAGTACTCATTTCTACCTAATTCTGCTCAATCGTAAGTATTCCACATTTAAATATTCTTTTAGCATTGCATATTTCATAGATCTGCCCTGCAGTTACTGTCAACATGTGTTGCGGACCTTGCGGTGGTTGCTGTGGACCCTGTGGCGGTTGCTGCGGACCATGCTACTCCTGCTGCGGACCCTGCTATTCCTGCTGTGGCCCGTGCTACTCCTGCTGCGGACCCTGTGGCGGCTGCTGTGGTGGATGTGGACCCTGTTGCTAGGTGGAACCCAAAAAAATTACGAGAATGTCCCAACTAACCCATAGTAAATTTTTGTTATAGTACATATAAAATAAAACGGGTCAATTTCTACTTGTCAGTCTTTGGTGTGGGAAATGGAGAAATTTTATATGGGTTGCTTCTCGATGCTGTAAACATATTACAATAGATATCTTTATCAATGTGTTCATGGCTATGCTCAAAAGAAGCATTTAAAAGAATTTTAATGTTAAATAAATGGCAGATAGCCGTCATTAAAATGGGGAACCTCGAATTGCATATAGATTCATGAATATATTTTTATACCCTGAAAATGCAGGTAACAGGCAGATGGAGGCTTGGTATAGCCCCATTAAGTATATATATCCTTTCTTGATCAGAATAACGAGCTCTAGATCCATACATCTGTCAATCCGTCCGTCCGTGCATATGTCCATCTGTCCGTCCGTCCGTGCATATGTCCATCTGTCCGTCCATCTGTCTATCCCTTCGTCTTTTCATCTATCCATCCGTTCTTCCACCTGTCTGTCCCTTCGTCTTTCCATCTATCCATCCGTTCGTCCGCCTGTCCGTATGTATGAAGTCGTCGATTTAAATACCTATAAGCTGAAGCCTTGAAGATTTGTTTAGGGGTCCCTGCATGGCCGCGCATAGGGTTTGTTTCGAGAAATCGAATAAATAATAATAGTGTATTTATGGGAGCTTCTTCATCAGGAAATTCTTCTCCTATCCAGTAGTCAAAACAGTCTTTAACAATGAAACTTCGCCTTTCGTAAAATTCAATCCAAGTAGTCTCTGACATTGAAACTTCACCAAATTTTGCCTGGTAATAACTCTTTATAAAATTAAATCTCATTCAGTTTTTGAGGCTTGTTCATTAAACAGCTCATTTTTTTTTTTTTTTTTTAATATTTGTAAATATTTTGGGAATGTAAGTTTTTTTTTTTTTTTTTTTTAAAAAGGTAATTCAATCAAGTTTAATTTCTTTTTTTTTTTTTTTTTTGTAAAATCTCAGGTTGAATCCTTTTTTGTAATAAAATAAGAATACGTCGACCGTTGTGAATTCTGGAGGCTTAATATCCGACTATATAGTTCTCTGGAAGTCAATCAGCGGTCGTAATTGCACGACATCGTAGTAGCTGTTTCTGTGAAGAAGCTTAAGTAAGTGATAATCTCTTGCCTTCGGCGTTAGATCAGAGTTTTCACATTCAAATTGATCGGCTTTTATCTCACAGTTTCCACCAAAATGTGCTGCGGACCTTGCGGAGGCTGTTGTGGACCCTGCGGTCCTTGCTGTGGGCCCTGCGGTGGCTGCTGCGGTCCCTGTGGACCCTGCTGTGGCCCCTGCGGCGGCTGCTGTGGGCCATGCTACTCTTGCTGTGGCCCCTGTGGCGGCTGCTGTGGTGGCTGCGGTCCCTGCTGCTAAAAGAGAGCCATCTTCAGAACGAAATCAAGATACTAGATTGCATTTAATACTAGAAAGCAGCAGCAGACCTAATTGTAAATTTTTGTACTACATAAATGTAAAATAAATAGACCAAGTCTGAAAATTGAAGAAAAATAGTGTGTTGTAGTCTGTCAATTTAATAGAACAAGTAAAAGCATAACAAACTAAAAAAAAAACTCTAGTGACAAATTTGACCGCTTGAAACTTGTTCTATGATTTTGGATCCATACTCTCCCAATTACATAGCATTTCTGTGAAGAGGCTTTCTTCAGTATGTGCTACAAACAGGAAAAAGGAACGCATAAAAGAATTAATAATATATCACCAAAATTTACATAAATAAATGAAGCTGAAAAGCAAAGTAGAATAGTCGACTGACATGCATTTTGTATCGATTTTTATCGATTTTGAATATCATCAATAAATAAATATAATACCATTACTACAAGCAACAAAGTAGCCTTAGATGTTTGCATTTCTACGAGGCTCAGCTTTACAGTCAAGTACATTCTCATTTTAAAACTCGTCCACTGAACATCTCTAATTTGTCGGGAATGTAAGCATATAAAATTATATGAAATTTTATTTAAAATACAACTATTTTTCTTTTTTAGCGACTGCTGTGGAGACCAGCAATCGATAAGCCATCTTCCCCCTTCAAGTGCCTCTTTCCGTGAAGTAGTTCATTACTTTGACTATATAGTCTTGTGGTTTTTCACTCCGTCTACTACAATCAGGATGTGCTGCTCTCCTTGCTACTCGTGCAGCTATTCCTGCACCTCCCCCTGCAATGGCTGCTGCAGTGGCTGCTGCGGCTGCAACGGCTGCTGTGGCGGCGGCTGTTGCTCGGCTGCGGCCTGCTGCTATCCCAGCTGTTGTGGCGGTTCCTGTGGACCCTGCTGCTAGAACGGAACTATCTTCAGAAGGAAATCTAGGTACTACATGAGATTAGAGAGATCATGGAAGCGATAAATTCTGTATTTGCATTTTTAAAGAAAACACAATGTGAGAATAAATTGTAACGTTTTTTTCTGTACTTTATTCTGTTTCATTAAAATAATTCATCAGGAATAAAGAACTGCCATTTTAATTTTTATTTATTTGAACATTAGTTTTGGTATAAAATCTGTAAAATAAAATTTTATAATTTTTAACATCATTTTTAATTTTATATTACATACATTAAGACTTCAATCTCAATCATTTAAACACTTTTATTTATGCAGTTTTTCATTTAAAATGAATTATACTTTAATTTAATATTATTTTAATTGAAGTCTGTATAATTTTAATAAAAAATAAATTTTAACTGTTTAATTTAAAAACAAGCTATTAAATTTGGTTTATATGTTAGATAAAAACGATATCTATATTTTGATATCTTGCATTAATTTTAAATTATAATAATATTATACTTTAGTCAAGAGCTGCAGCCTAATTTAAGCTTTCATTATTGCACTATGAATTTTTGTTTAGACTAAAATTTATCTTGATTAAATGAAAATTTAGCTTACATTTAATTTTATATTTCTGCGGATTCGAAAACATTTTAATACCTGAATAAGGGTATCTGACAGCTGAGTATTCTCAAGCTGGAAAGCAAACACCCCACATATTTCAAATCAGCATCCAAATAAAATAGTTTTTAATAGTAGCAACCAAAGTAGGCCCCAAAAGTTGAGCCCCCAGCCAGCAGTTCCAATATTCCTCATTCAATTTTTCGGACTAGTCCAGTAAACATCTGAGTCTATTTGTTTGTACCCATTTGTAAAATTTTAGGAA